CTGATGAATAGCAAGAACCTACAACCAAGATTACTTTACCCAGAAAAGCTATCTTTCAGAATTGAAGGTCAGACAAAGAGCTTCACAGATAAGAAAAAGCTAAAGGAGTTCATCACCACCAAACCAGTATTATATGAAATGCTGAAAGGAATCCTTTAAGAGAAGGAAGAAGAAGAAAGGTAAAGATAAAAATTATAACAACAAATACATATCTATCAACAAGTGAATCTACAAATCAAGTGAATAAATAATCTGATGAACAGAATAAACTGGTGAATATAATAGAATCAGGGGCATAGGAAGGGAGTGGACTGACAATTCTTGGAGGGAAAGGGGTGTGGGGAATGGTGGAAGAGACTGGTCAAAAATCGTGCACCTATGGATCAGGACAGTTGAGGGGAGTAAGGGCAGAGGGTGGGGTGGGAACCGGGTGGAGGGGAGTTATGGTGGGAAAAAAGAGGAACAACTGTAATAATCTGAACAATAAAGATTAAATTTATAAAAAAATATCTTCCACTCTACCCTGGGGGAGGTTACTTGACTGTAAATAGCCAAAGTCAGACCCAATTTAAACCAGAAATCTTCTAATGTGACACTATTGTTGTTGCTTGAAAACCGTTTTCACAGTCACAGTTCTCACATTTGTAAAATAGCAATTTCCAGAGGAAAGGCCAAAATGTGACTTAATAGTAAACTACAACTTAAATCTTTGCTGTCATTTGCCAAGCATGTTAGTAAGCTGTTTAGAACTTAACTTCAATGATCTACATATGACAGAAAGAAGATAAAGGAGAAAAAAAATCGTCAAATTTATATCGTTATTTTTCCACTTAAGAGGGAAGAAGGGCTGAAAAGAACAGCTTTTAAGATGTTCAGTGTTGCATTACTGCATATTGGAAATAATGGTATTTTAACATGCTTCTAAACAGAAAAGGGTGAATAAAATGATAAGTCATCCTCTGAATTGTCTTTATACCTATTTTTCGCTTAGATTTAAATTAAATAGAAAATTGTGTTGACCAATGTCACCCCAATATATTTAATAAAATAATAATAAATAAAAGTAAATAAATAAAATAGAAAATGACCTCAATGCAACATCAAAATAGGAACTATTTGTTAGAGATTGGCCACTTGAAAGAAAAAAAAAAGATAACTTATCTGAAATGAATCCAGATAGAAGGTAGTTAACAATCATGTATAAATCATAATCCAGTAGTCAGTTAGTTTATAATATCTGTAATGATCAAGAAGCATAGTAGCGCATTTCAGTAGGAAAGACGGGAGATGGAGTACTAAGTACTGTATTTGCCTCTAGGCATTGGAAGTGCAACATAAAGAAAGATACTTAAACTTCAGAGGAAAACACACAAAATAGGCTGTGCAAATATACACCTCCAGGAAGGGTTCTCTTCATAAGTACCTTAACAAGATATTATTTTTCATATTAGAATAAAATCAGCTGACCAAGTTTTAAGTAATGTGCTTTTTAAAATAGTTTATTGATTTTTATTTTTTAATGATTTCCTTTTTTAAAAAAGTTTTAATATGTTTTTATTGATTTCAGAGAGGAAGGGAGAGAGAGAAAAAGATAGAAACATCAATGATGAGAGAGAATCATTGATTGGCTGCCTCCTGCATGCTCCCTACTGGGGACCAAACCCAAAACCCTGGCATGTGCCCTGGACCAGAATCGAACCTGGGACCTTTCAGTCCTCCAGCCAATACTTTATCCACCGAGCCAAACCAGTTAGGGCTAGTTTATTGATTTTTAGAGATACAGGAAGAGAGAGGGAGGGGGGGGGACATCAATGTGAGAGGATAACATCAATTGGCTGCTTTCTGCATGCTCACTACCAGGGATTGAGCCAAAAACCCAGGCATGTGCCCTGACTGGGAATCGAACTTTTTGGTACACAGGACAACATCCAACCAACTGAGCACACCAGCCAGGGCTAAAGAACGTTTAAACATTGTTCTAATTTGACAAAAGTTGTATTCTGATTATTTTAATCAGTGGAATTCGCTATATTAGGTGATACATGACATTTACCTGGAGAAAATTGAGAAGAACAGAGAAGATACATACCATAAGACTGCACAGACTTTGAGAGAACATGACTTTCAACAAAGGCATTTCATGTCTTCCTTGGCTAAATCTAAATCACTTTAAAAATTTTTAAGTTCACATTTTTGTTTCACTTTTTTTTCCATTTTAAATTTTTTCCTGCTTCTTTGTTTATATCTCTAGGATCCTTTTTAGTCCATGAGGATGCTGAATGAATACTCAGGTACTTCAAATATGAAGAGGGGGAACAGCCAACTGAAGGATATTGCAACTCCTTCCTAATATTCATATGAGATATGACTGCTTTATCTAAGAGATCACTCCCAGGGTACTGCATATATTAAAGAGAGAGATTATGTATATTTCTGCTACAAACTGACAGTAACTCACTCCTTGAAAAAATTAATATATATATATATAATTTTTTTTAATATACATGTTTTGGTTTTTTTTTCAAAAACCAAGAAGGGAGAGGGAGAAAGATAGAAACATCAAAGATGAGAGAGAATCATTGATTGGTTGCCTCCTGCACACCCCCTACTGGGAATTGAGCCCACAGCCTAGGCATGTGGCCTGACTGGGAATCAAACCATGATCTCTTGGTTCCTGGGTTGACGCTCAACCACTGAGCCACAATGGCTGGGCTATGGGGCTCCTTTTATGAGTCCACATTTGACCAGATGTCATCATGATCACAAAACATTGAGCTAAAACTGCCCACAAATTGTTAAAAATAAATTTCCCATTCTAGTTCAATAAATACACACGTCCACCAATAAGAACCAAAAAATCCCCAACTGGAAGGGATTGGGATAATTTGTAGGTTGTCTAATTCTGATGTTGACCTTCCTTCCCTCTGTTCTCAGCTACCAATTTGGCCATTTGCCCAGCTATGAGACCCCTTTCTTCCAAATGGTAGATGTCATCTTTTCTAAATTTCCTTGTAGCAGAAAAATAGTGGAAACTTGAAACTGATATCAAGTGGAGCGTTTGAAGGGCCTCGGGGTTCTCATCCTAATCCGCCATAGCAAAATATACCTTCCTAGTGAATGCACTGGAGTGCGGCCAGGGATATGCCGCAATCTAAACTTCTTCAGCAGCGTGTTTGCATATTATACATGATCTAACCTTCTGGACAGCAGCAAACATTATAATAATAGTTTCTTGCAAAATAATAGAACACAGCTTTACTCATTTTTATCACTCTGTTTCTTTTGCTCCAATTCATCAGCCGCCTGAACTTTTCTGCTAATATCTTCTTCCCTTGGCCAGGATGTGTGGGACCTCATGAGTCATGAACACCAAGGGCATCGCCACAGTCAGAGACATACACCAAAGCCATCACCATTCTGCCATAGTTGTTTCCTGCTTTCTGTTATGTTTCAAACCGTATAAGCCAAAATTTGATCATTTCTTCCAGCAAATAATCTCCAAGATGGTAGGTTGTTTTTTCTTTCTTGTCTTTAATCCTAGTAAAAGAGCTATATCACAAAGTCCCATGTATGTCTGGTTTATGCGCCATATATTAGAATTTATAAAATATCCTATGGGGGAGAAAATATTCTGTGGTGAAAGAGGTTTGGAAAATGTTCTAGCCTCAGTCTTTCTGCAGACTCGCATTTCTGGACAGCACCTGGATTTACCACAAGCATCTCAAACTTCCCCAAAGCCAGCTTTCTCCTCCCCTTGACGACCAAGCCCTCCTCCTTTTGCGGACACAATCCCACCAATCTCTGAGGTCTTAAAACTGAGGACTCTTCTTGGAC